TGACGTTGTAAAACCTGCGTGTAAGTGAACGCTGATTTACTTGATCATGTGGCTTATTTTGCTACTAATTATGGCATTTATCTATCTAATCTAATCTCAGGCCTCCCGTCAGTGACTCCGCCCACAGCTCGTCCTTTGCCCCGCCCAAATGTGACACCTCCGCCCAATGCAGATGTCACACTTCTGTATGCTCAGGGACAGAAAATAGGAGCCCTGCCGCTTAATGGGACAAGACTGGACTCTTCCCGGTCCAGAACGCTGCTGACTCTACATGTAAGGCAGACTATAGCATGTTTAAGATTTTGCAATGCCTTGTCTGGTTTGTGGAACCAAAGTAGAGATTTTTACCCATAATGCAAAGCTCCATGTTTGGTTAAAACTAGCAAGCTAGCATCCTGGCAGAGGATGCTGCTGTTGTGTCTTTGGGCAAGACTCTTCGCCTGCTGGTAGTCATCAGATGGACTGGTCATGCCAGTTCTCGGCAGCCTCGCCTCTGTCAGTCTGGCCCAGAACTGCTGTGGCTACATTGTAGTCCATCACCATCAGTGTGTGTGTGTGTGTGTGAGTGTGTGTGTGTGTGTGTGTGTGTGTGTGTGAATAGATGAATGACGCACTGTAGTGTAAAGCACTTTGGAGTCCTCAGACTCTAAAAGGTGCTCTACAAGTGCGGGTCATTTCTCGTTATCATTTTTTTGGGCTCCCCTGAGTGTGTCACCCTTCATCACCCTTCTAGTTTCGTTTAGTTTATTTCATTCAATCAATTAGGGTTGTCACGGTGTGAAAATTTAACCTCACGGTCATTGTGACCAAAATTATCACGGTTTCCGGTATTATCGCGGTATTTTTTTAAACGTGTTACATTTTCAGACAAGTACATAAACCCTGTATATCAGGAAAATATTGTCCTCAGTTTGTGTCTAAATTTTGCCTAAAATTTGTTATTTTGTAATTATGTTGTTTATTTGTTTACATTTTTCCCTTTAGTCTTTAAAGTAACGAATTACATTTACTCATGTTACTGTAACTGAGTAGCTTTTTTGTGTATTTATACTTTTTAAGTCGATTTTAAAATCGAGTTCGTTTTTAAAGAAGAATTGTAATTCGCTACATTTTAAATCATTTCCGTTACTGAGTAAAAATAAATTGTAGGGTTAATAAATTAAAAATACTGCGTGTAGCAGCGTTGGAACAGAGAGAGACACCTGCATGAGTGCCGGGTCTAAACCGTGGGGGGGGGGGTACATTTTAGATAATGAGGACAAACAGCCATTTTTACCGCAGTTTTGCTCAAAAACATTAGTTCAGTCCCTGTGATCCACTCGCTGTTCACCTCCTCTCTCCCTCCTCTCCTGTGGGTTGGAACCCGCACCTTTGCGCACCGGTTCGACGTCATCAGAATTCTGCTCGGTTCGGTAGCCAGACTCGGTTCCGTGTTTGAAATGTGTTTCTCTACCGCTCCGCACGGCAGTGGCAAAATAACATTTAGCGCCCATAACAAGCGGATTCTCAGCGCTTTGCTCATAAAACAGAAGACCTGCAGGCCTCTGAGAGTTAAAACATCCTGATGCTGTTCAGGTGTAAACATTGTGCTCCATCCCTGTTTGAACTCAGAAGATGCTCCTTGATGCCGCAGACATGTGATGATTTAGCTTGTTTCTTTATTTTACTCCAGAATAAGAGATTAAAGTATTACAAAAGCAGTTCAGTGTAGTTACATTAGTCATGACGTGTGTGTGTGTGTGTGTGTGTGTGTGTGTGTGTGTGTGTGTGTGTGTGTGTGTGTGTGTGTGTGTGTGTGTGTGTGTGTGTGTGTGTGTGTGTGTGTTACACATATAGGACTGCATGCGACAGCATGGTTTCATCAAATCCATGCATCCTATATCTTGGTTGAAGTAATGGTGAACAAAAATAACTTCTATTTTATAAATAATGACGTCTTAATAGTGTCTACGATAATGTTTTACCTTATCTTTGGTCTGGGGGGTGTAACATATCATGATACAAGCCTTTTAAAACATGTTAAAGTGTTACAAGAGGAGATAAATGCATGAATTTGAAGTTCATGTTTGGAGACCAACCTTCACAGTTTGGAGGCTCACGCTGGTGAGGAGACACCATTAGTTCTAGTAACACCTGGGCTCCCAAGGCCTATTCTGACAGGATGGACGTTACGGGACCCTTAAGGATTCCAGTTGGACGATTGGAGGATTATTTAGGAGGATTGGAATGAACAAACTGATTTCAGTGGTGAAGGGTTAAATGAGTGAGTGAACGCATTACCAAGGATGAACTCTGCTAACTTTAAAAATCAGCTGCTTTAAATAAGCATGAAGGTCAGAGAGGAGCTCTAGGATGGACATGGATAAAGGAACTGTAATGTAGAGGTAAAGTAGGGCCGAGCCAACGTTAACAGCTGTCATACATGAAATGTTAGACTTTCATTTAGCTTGTTATGTGACAGGTTAGAGCACAGTCTCATGTTAGAGTTTTGTCATGAAAACATTAAGATACCCCACATGCTGATGGCATCTAAAAAACTTTTTTTTCTCAAAATAAAGAATAATTTTAATCACAACTGAAACCTACAATTGTAAAAAGACCTCGTCCAATCAATGTGCATATCTGTTCTCACTGATTGGATAGAAATCCCTCCATCAAACTGTGTGTGTGTGTGTGTGTGTGTGTGTGTGTGTGTGTGTGTGCGTGCGCGCGTGCGTGCGTGCGTGCGTGTGTGTGCGTGCGCGCGTGCGTGCGTGCGTGCGTGTGTGTGCGCGCGCGCGCATGAGTGAATTGTGAACTGGCATTGTGATTTTGCTCTACTTACATGTAGCCATCCTTACGCTGATAAAAATGTAACTAAGTAACTTTTACTTTGAGTACATTTTATTTACAATACTTTTTACTTTTACTTGAGTAAAAATTTAGGCAAGTACTTTTACTTGTACTTGAGTAAAAAAGTATGAAAGTATTGGTACTCGTACTTAAGTAGGAAATTTTAGTACTCTTTCCACCTCTGGCCTTCTAATCAGTTACTTTTTTACCCTTACTTGAGTAATAAACCCTATATCAGGAAAATATTGTCCTCGGTTTGTGTCCTTCCAGTGAGCTTTGCAGATGTGGGAAAATGTCATCAGGCAGTAATCGTTGTTAAATTCAGAATTATTCTCGGAGAGAGACCAACTCTTATCTGCCCCTGAGAGCCCCGTAATGCATAGCGTCATTTCAACATGGGGGTGTCCGCGACACGGTTTATATACAGGTAGCGGCGCTGCGGCTGCTTTATATAGCGACTCGTTGCATTCTCCCTCAACCCAAATCCTCGGATCACGCATTTTAGCTAAAACGCTAACGTTAGCTTGCCTTGCGTTGACTGTAGAGTTGTGGGTGATGGTCACGCAGATGTGTCATGAGATTTGAAGCGTTGCTGCCTTTCACAGACACTTTTTCTGCACGTGCTGCAAACAGGATAGCCGTCTTCTATCAACTGTCCCTCGGCATTCTTCAAATATCCAAAAGATGTCCGTACTTCCCACTTTGTCTTCTTTGAGGGATAATACATGTCCTGAGCGCTGCCGTCTCCTCCTTTGGCCGTTATTTCAGCTTTAGCTTCGAGAAAGTTTTGGTTGTAAACTTCAGCAGACGATACGGTGGCTGGTAAGGGTCACCGCGCCTACACCACAGCCACGGTAATCCACCGAGAGATAATATAGTTTTTTTTAAAAACAAGACGGTTATTATTATTGTCAACTTTTTTACCGGGGTTTACCGCTACACCGGTTACCGTGACAACCCTACAATCAATCAAATAAAAGTTACATTAAAACAGTTCATGTTCACAAATAATCATGAATGAAAAGGAGCAGAAAGAAGCAAAAACTTATAATATCTGCCCCCTTTTCACATCAAGACATTAGCTGTTCAACTCAACTTAGTCGTTCACCTACCCCCCCACCCCCAACACAAAACAAGTCTATCAGCCTACTTAAGGTCTTATTATTTCATCACAATACATTTGACAATTTTTTTAATACAAAAAATGATTTAGATTGTTTTATTTCACTGTCGAGACTATTCCATAAATAGACACCTTTAACCGAGACACATCTTTCCGTTATCGCTGTTTTAGGGGAGCCAGACTCCCCCCAGCTCCCCTGCCTTTTGAGCCGAATGTGGAAGTAGAAGCTAAAGAAAAACAACGGCGCCCTAAGTGGAACTTTCAGCCCACATAATGAATGCTTACTCCAGCAATTAGGGCTGAATGATATCTGGAATGTCTGCATCGAAAAGAATTGCATAAATCTTAGGCTGTTATGTCCAACTGCCGTAAATTTATCATTTATGTTTTGGGTAAAGATTTAGCCAATCAAATGGACTTACACTATCCTTAATCACATCTAGTTAAAATAATAGAAGCTAAACTGTAGAGGTGCTGAAAAAATCGATTAAAGTCTGAATCGGGATTCTTATTTATAAAGATTCAGAATCGATTCCACGAACTCAAATATTCGGCATGTTACAGGTTTGAGACGCACTTTTTTGATCTTTGTTAGGAGAGTCAGTACTCCGTTTACTTTTGTGGTCCCATAAATTGAGATGATTTATGTTTGAATCTGCTGATAAGAGGGCACTAGAATGTAATTGTTTCCATACTCAGAAATTTGAGATATTCTCATATTTATTTTCTAAGTTGATAAATGAGTACTCAGGATTACTCATGTAAAGCTGGGCGGACACTGTGTGACTTTTTCACTCGTAGCACTCAGCTTCAGCTCAAACTGTACGACTTCCTCGCAGGGCAGATCTCACGAGTCTTGTGCTCACACTGTACGTCTGGTAGCAACACGTCGGACCTAAAAATATGCTAAAAATAGCAGTTTTTACTCAACACGTCAGACTTTTTTGTCTTGCCTGTTGTCCTTCGGGAGTGCTGCAGGAGGACACACAGGGATTTGGATGAGGAAAACGAAATAAAGAAAGTAAATCTGTTTTGTGATCGGTTTAATTTGACACGAACACGACAAACACGCTTTCCTGACAACCTTTGTCACTGTGTGTAAAAAAAACGTGTAGAAATAAAACCAACAACGTGTGTTATTAGGGAAATAGCGGGTGAGCGGCGTTGATGCAGGATTGCGCATGCGCCGTGAGCGGTTCTGATACTTTTTGGGTCACAGCCGCTCGCAGCGCCGCTTCAACAGTGCGATACCCTCACGAGGGACGAGCAAAATATCAAGCACTCCAGAAGTCCGTGCGAGCTCACGACTGCTGATCGGTAGCTGGTCACGTGGTGTTAATCGCCTCTCGTAACCCCCGGTACACTACACGACGCTCAGCGCAAAACTCGCCCCGATCTCGTGGATTCTCGCACGAGTGGAAAATCGGCTAAAAAAAGTGAAAAAGTCGCACAGTGTACGCCCGGCTTAACTTGTTTCTACACATACTTGAAAAGTATTTCAGCGTATTACTTTGAAAGCTACTGTTAGGTAACTACAGATTTGTTATATTTTACAAGGTAAGCAAAAATAAATGTTGCCTTTTGGTCAAAAGATTGTTTCTGTTTACAGTTTTAGAATCACTTTATTTTACGTTGTAAATTAGCATTTTTGGAGCATGACCAATTTAAAGTCAAATAAAAATGCCCCATAGCTTTAACTAACTTGTACAACAAAGTAGTTCATCCTGGAGCTGACACTCTTTCTTAATACTGATTGAGAATCGATTTAAATTGAGAATCGAGAATCGATTCTGAATCGAATCGGCACCCCAAGAATCGGAATTGAATCAAATCGTGAGTTGCTCTAAGATTCACATCCCTAGTAAACTGATCACAAACACCTTGATGACAATACTGAAGTTGTTTTCTGGTGTGTTGTGACCTTACCATCTCCTAGCTGCAAATGTGTGTGTTTACCCAGGGGTCCATAGTGGTTGGTATCGCCTACGACTGCAAAGAGAATCAAGTCTATTGGACGGATCTGTCTGCAAGGACCATTAACAGAGCTTCGATGGTCTCTGGAGCTGAGCCTGAGATACTCATCAACTCAAGTAAGACTTTGATCCATTCTCTCGCGGGGCTGTGACCGTTGGTGGCTAGTTGGATGCACACAATTGTGCAAATTTCAATGGGATTCTCATAGAATTGGTATATGTTTGTGATTGGTTTCAGTATGAACAGGTCACACTGGGTATTTCATGTAAATGCAACATTTTTGATCCAATTTAGTCACAAAGTGATTTGATTATGTCCCTGTTTGTTTATGTGAGATGGGTGCCCCAGCCTCACTGCCATGCCCAAAGTGAGCCACTGAGGCCATCCTCCATTGCATGGCTCTAAATATGAGCTCATCTCTTAGGACACGTTGCCATGGCACACTATACCAGAGTGGTTTTCCAGGCATGTCCTTCTGAGAGTAGACCATAGATAGACCCAGAACTTTCTGGAAGAATTATATGTCCCCTCTGGCCTGGGAGGGAGTAAAGATTGTAGCTGGGGTGAGGGATGTCTGGGCTTCCTTCCTTGACTTGTAACCTCTGACCTGATCATAGATAGAGGGATGGAAAATATATTGATGAATGTTTAAAATTTCGAGTCCTCATTGAAAACCGTCACAATTATTTGTAGACGTTTTGGGAACTCCAACAGTCTTGTGTGATGAACGTGGCGCTGCGTTTTAAACGTTCTGTTCTTCACAATCGTCCTTCTCCCCATAGATCTCGTCAGTCCAGAAGGTTTGGCCGTAGACGTTAAGCGCAGGCTGATGTTCTGGGTCGACTCCTCCCCCGATGTGATTGAAAGCGCCAACTTGGACGGCAGCAGGAGGCGAATCCTGTTCGACACCGACCTAGTCAATCCCAGAGCCATCATCGTGGTTTCATCCACTGGGTAAAGCTTTACTCACAAAGCTCGTTTTCAAGCTTGGTTGATCGTGGACTTGCAGATGCGTACGAGTCTCCTTCCTGAGTTTCAAACACACCTCGCCCACACGCTCTTTGAGGGAAGTAGAACTTCTCGGAAGTGCTCCACTGAAATTCAGTGAGCCATCCAGGAGGATTCAGTGTTTTGCAGTTCGTTATTAAAACTATAAAAATCAACACAGGTTCCTAAACAGGACCGTGACTCAGCCGTAGCTCATCCACTTCAGCCAGACCTGTTGAGTCTGGTGTCGAGTCATGAGACTAAACATGAGTTTAACGGCAGAAGATGGGGGGTTTGGTGGCTTTGTAGTGGTTTTAAAGTCCCATTAGCAACGTATGTTAGATACTTCTTTCATATAAGCAGTTCTCAGTGTGGGGGTGTCGCTGCCAGCCGGGCCATGCTGTCGGATTTACTGACGCCATAAATTCTGAACACACAAGCAAAAGTGCTGAAAGCAAGAGGCCATCGCCGGTCAGCTCCGCAGGAACAACATCTGCTTCTCATCCTCAGAGTTAGTCAACTGTTACGCAAGACGTGCTGTGTGTGTTAGTACGGTGGATTCAAACACAGCAGATCATAAAACCACAAATGTATGTTTCACATCATTGCTCTGACAGTTTCGGCTTTTTGTTTTCTGACTCAGATGCTCATCAGCTTCATGTGGCGTGCGTTACCTAGGGCTCCCAGCAGGCTGCCAGCGTACTCGTGGTGACACTTTTTGTATATTTGAAGGTTCCGATCACCAAGTCATTGTTTCATCATTGTGGCTGTTATGGATTGGAATGCATGAGCCGGCCCGGTCCATGTTTTCTGACGCCTGCAGATGGAACGTGACCTGGAAAATGAAGTATGAGAGAAAAGGTCAAAGGCTGTCATGCTGCCCTGACTTTGAACTTCTCAGCAGGAAATAGCCGGTCCCTTGAGCACCAAAACAAGGTTGGTCCAACGAGTCCTATAATCCCTCCCGGTTGTGTCTCTCTGCAGTACTCTGTACTGGACCGACTGGAACAGAGAGGCCCCGAAGATCGAGAGTTCATCTGTGGACGGCCTGAACCGCAGGGTGGTGGTTTCTGATGGCGTTGGTTTACCAAATGCTCTCACATACGACTCTTCCTCTGGACAAGTCTGCTGGGCTGATGCAGGTGAGTGAAAAAGTTACTTCCCTCTTTGATAAAGAGCAAGTCACCCCCAAATCAACCTTTTTTTTTTTTTGCTGATTAAATATAAATGCGTGTCTAATCTTGCTGCAGACACGTGTAGTCAATAGTTTAGCATTTTTGTGCATTTTAGTAAAAATGTAACTTTTCAGCCTAAAACTGTCAGGGTTGTGTCGTTGTCAGGTAAAAACTCTGCACTGCATTTGAATTCAAATCTGCCATCGCTATTGGCTAAGAGGTACCCTAGAACGTTAGCTGGTACCATATGATGTCACAATGTCAGTGTCAGCCTGTGTGTGTGTATTTGTTAGCGGCTCCGTCCTCTCGGTCTGCTAGGCAACAGCATTTGTTGCATTTTTTCAAACAGGAAGTGGGAGTGGAGTAATACTCTGATAGAGGGTGACTTGCTCTTTAAATCACAAACCAATTCTGGTTAACACCATCCATCCATCCATTTTCATCCGCTTATCCGGAGTCGGGTCGCGGGGGCAGTAGCCTAAAGCTTGGTTTATGCTTGATGCATTCACTTTCCACTTGGTGATGCGGCTCGCGGATGGAACGCGCTTCACAACTCACAGCATTTATGGTTCGTGCGGCTTGTCTCTGCGGTGAGCCAATATTCTCCCAAACTGTAGGGGGCAGCATGGAGCTCTACGGCATGCATCCAGCACTACACCATAGTAGAAGTAAAAATTACTGTTGTTTACAACATGGCATTCCAGCATTTTTAACAGCGTCCTCGTCTTTTCCGACAGTGCGAGCTATTTCTCTCCAAGAATTATTAACAACATGTTGATCACGGTGATCTCTGAGAGCTGAATCATACAAATGTCTGTGTTTACGAACCTCTTTCATACTAGTTCTTGCCAGTCCGCCATGTTTTTCCGCGTCCGACTGTCCGCGTGGTTAGAAATTTTCCTAGGTGCGCGTTGTGGAAATTTTGGGCCGTGCGGAGACGCGGTGGAGGGGCGTGGTGGTTAAAATGATGCAATTTCGCCGCGCGGACCTCGCCGACGCGTCAAGCATAAACCAACCTTAAGGCGAGAGGCCCAGACTTCCCTCTCCCCAGCCACTTGGGCCAGCTCCTCCGGAGGAATTCCAAGGCGTTCCCTGGCCAGGTGAGAGACGTAGTCCCTCCACCGTGTCCTGGGTCTACCTTTAGGTCTCCTCCCAGTTGGGCGTGCCCGGAAAACCTCCCCAGGGGGTCCGAGAGGCATCCCGACCAGATGCCCAAGCCACCTCAACTGGCTCCTCTCGATGCGGAGGAACACATTATTTGGAAATCGGAGATTATTTCCAAAGCCAGATCTTACTACCAGATTTGTAGAATTAGGAAATCACTTCAGTAAAAGCTGTCTGACAAGTGGGCTAAAAGATCTCAAAAAGCAACACACACAAAAAATAACAATCAATAACGAAAGAACCCAGAACAACATCTAAAGCACTGCCTCACTTGAGAAAAGTTCATGTCAGAGGTCGATAAGAAACACGAATGGACCACGGTGGAAATCTTAGCTCTTAGCTAATCGTTTGTTACGATTACGATATTATTTTTTATGCCATTTGAATTTGTCTCTTGGTTGGGACATTTCAAACTTCCTTGTCAAATCAGGGTGTTTTTGCAACACTCATTCTATGTTCATTTACGTATTACACATCATTAGAAAGCTAGGATTCTAATGATATTTGCCAATCGATGATACACCTAGAACTGCCAAACCACTTATAAATTCATAATAATGTCTAACACAGCTGACAGAACAGCACCATCTCCAATAAAAGGTTTGCACGTCCACATGCCAACATCACTGTGCTGCTTCAGGACGAGGTTTGGGCATCGAGAATCGGCTTTTCCCAGAATCGCTGAAATGCATAAATTCTGATTCCCAGTTTCTATACGTAGTCTGCTGATTGGAAGAAGAATCTACTGAATACCAACAAAGAAGAATCTACCAGAAGTGTTTGCGTCAGCGCGTTCTGAAGTGCAGCTTTTGTGTAAAAGCTTCACTGAGAAGTTCTGACTATTTCATCAGGAAAGGCCTACGGTTAGGTGGCTCATTTAACACATGTAATGTTGTTTGAAAGAATCAAAATCAAGAATCGCCAGGAATCAGAATCGTTCAAATCTAAACGAAGCCCAGCTCTGTTCAGTACCTGGACCACTTGCTGTAACTGATGCAACTATGAATTCTGCTCTCTAGCAGAACATCCTGAAGGACAATGTCTGACCTTTGACCTTTAACAGAACAATCAGGCTGGAAAATCCTCCAATGTGGTTGAATTCAAACGATTATGTAAAGAAGAGTGAGACAGCGTTCATCCATCGAGATGTGAGACTCCGTACCAGTTATCCAGTGGCGTGTCCAGATCTTTTAAAATGGGGTGGCCCAGGTGAGGCACAAGTTTGTGCATGGGTGGCACCAATAGTTATGCTTTTTTTGTTTTACCCCCAAGCCTTTTGTGGACAATGAAAAGCCTATTTAAAGGTAAATTAGTGTGTTGGCACCTGGGGTGGCCAATCAGATTACAAGGGTGGCATGTGCTACCCCAGGCCACTCCCTGGACACGCCCCTGCAGTAATCAGAAACGGCTCCAAGGCTTTCAAAATGAGGTTTCTGGCATCAGTGACTTTTTCACATGGGATCTGGTTGGTTTGGATACCTTTTGATCTTCTGAATAATGACATCATTAATTATCCATCATGTGCCCTCCCAACTGTTCTGTTTGAATAAGTCAGCATGTTGGTCTGCCCTCCTGTCATGTGTGCATCAGGAACAAAGCGTCTGGAGTGCATATCTCCAAACGGCTCTGGTCGGAGAGTGATCCACCCCACCCTCAACTACCCCTTCAGTATGGTCTACTACAGGAATCACTTCTATTACACAGACTGGAGGAGGTAGCCGTGCCCATTTTTTTTGGTCTTTCTTTCAGTCATTAATGATTGAAATTCATTAAGTGTCAGTGTGCAGCCTTCAGAAGCTTTTTTTTGGTGTTCTCCTTCACAGGGATGGTGTGATCGCAGTGAGCAAAGACAGCAGTAAGTTCACAGATGAATACCTGCCCGAGCAGCGGTCACACCTGTATGGCGTCACCATAGCAACCACCTACTGTCTACCGGGTAAGATTAATATATAGGGTCTTTTTCAGGTCATGTGTTGATTGCTATGGGAGTAGCACCCCATCTTTAAAGAGCAAGTCACCCTCTATCAGAGTCTTACTCCACTCCCACTTCCTGTTTGAAAAATGCAACAAATGCTGTTGCCTAGCAGACCGAGAGGACGGAGCCGCTAGCAAATACACACACACAGGCTGACACTGACATTGTGACATCATATGGTACCAGCTAACGTTCTAGGGTACCTCTTAGCCAATAGCGATGGCAGATTTAAATTCAAATGCAGTGCACAAAAATGCTAAACTATTAACTACACGTGTCTGCAGCACGATTAGACACGCATTTATAAATTTAATCAGCATAAAAAAGTTGATTTGGGGGTGACTTGCTCTTTAATTAGGAGTGTATTTTCTTGATTTGAGAGCACTAGTTGATTTCATGCTCGGATCTTGTAACGTTCTCTTTGAAAACACTCAAAAAATACTTCCTGTGCTCACTTACATCCTACTTGCGCTCAAATGGACTCTTCTACCCTTAAAGTCATACAAACATCCCGCTTTAGAGTTCCAGCTGCTTCTCTCTACACTCCGACTTTTATTTTTTATTTTTTGCACACCTAAAACCGGTTCTCATTGAATTTTCTTGAGCTCTTGGACTGAAGCAAGATTATTCTGCCAAAAGTTCCACCGCCTGCGGTTCCCCTATTTAAACAGATGTGTTCCAACTACAAGGGATCACACTGAGCCTCCTTGGAAAGGAACCTTGGATTCAGGAGGAACATTATGGTTTCCGTCCTGGCTGTGGAACACTGAACCATCTCTATAATCTTAGGAGGGTCCTGGAGGGTGCGTGGGAGTACGCTCACCCACTCTACATGTGTTTTATGAATTTGGAGAAGGCTTGGGAGGCCCTTTGGGGGGTACCAGGCCCTCTGTTGTGGACTGTGAGGTCCCCAGAGCTTGGTCTGCATCTCCGGTCTCATTTCCTGTGAAAGTGAAACTCCGCCAAGGCTGCCCTTGTCACAGAGGCACATCAATTTCTAGGTGCAGCCAAGGTGTGGAGGGGATCCGTTTTGGTGGCGTAAGGATTGAGTCTCTGCTTTTTGCAGATGATGTGGTCCTGTTGGCGTCATCAGAACGTGACCTCCGGCTCTCACTGGAGTGGTTTGCAGTCGAGTGTGAAGCAGATGGGATGAGAATCAACTCCTCTAAATCCGAGACAATGGTGTTGAGTCGGAAAAAGTAGAATGCCTTCTCCAGGTCAGGGATGAGGTCCTGTCTCAAGTGGAGGAGTTTATCTCGGGGTCTTGTTCAGGGGTGAGGGAAAACTGGAGTGTGAGATTGACAGGCTGCATCTGCAGTGATGTGGGCGTTGTACCGATCTGTCGTGGTGAAGAGAGAGCTGAGTTAGAAGGCTAAGCTCTCGATTTACCGGTCGATCTACGTTCTTACCCTCACCTATGGTCATGAGCTTTGGGCAGTGACAGAAAGAACGAGATCGTGGATACAAGCGGCCGAAATGAGTTTTCTCCGAAGAGTGGCTGGGCTCTCCCTTAGAGACAGGACGAGAAGCTTGGTCATTCGGGAGGGGCTCTGAGCAGACCCGCTGCTCCTCCACATCGAGAGGAGCCAGTTGAGGTGGCTCGGGCATCTAGTTAGGATGCCTCCTGGACGCCTCGCTGGTGAGGTTTTCCAGGCACGTCCAAACGATAGAAGGCCTAAAGGTAGACCCAGGACATGATGGAGGGACTATGTCTTTCACCTGGCCAGAGAACACCTTAGGATTCCCCTGGAGGAGTTAGCCCAAGTGGCTGCGAAGAGGGAAGTCTGGGTCTCCCTGCTTACTGCCCCCATGACCCGGCCCTGGATAAGTGACCGAAAATTGATGGATGGATGGAAATTCTCCAGCCAGTAAGAAGCCAGATATGATGCTGACCACAGCCATTTTCTAGGTGCCGCTCGTTTACGTCCACCAACTGACTATAATACAGTGACGTGCGCTCAGAGGAGGCGGGGGGAAGCACATCCTGTTTCAGTGAGAGTGTGCAGCGCTGCACCGTGACAACAGAGGCAGTTCTAATTACTTGCTTAGAGAGTCGAGATCTTTAGTGAAAGGTTTCCTACCTACAAAAAGCCAGCTGATTGCACCGAGTCACTGTGTCTATACAGCAATCCTCACACTAAGCAAACATGTAGCGACAGTGGAGAGGAAAACTCTTTCAGCAGGCGGAATCCTCCAACAGAACCAGGCTCAGTAGGACTCCAATGAACTAAAATCTGTCCAGTGGTTCATAAAATACTTAGCGTAAGATAAGATGCAGGTAAAAACACGATAGCCGTTCTTTAAGCGACAGGTGATAAAAGAAAACCAAGCTTTTGCTGTGCAGACACTAGATTGGGTTTTAAACCTGGCTTTCCAAACTGTTTATTTGTGCATCTACGATCAGAACGAGGATGTGTGAGGCCTTTACTGAACGTGAGGCCGAGAGTGATGATTACACAGCTGTCGACTACCCCTCTGCCTGTACTTTGGCTGAGTCATGTTTGATGTGTTGATGTTAGCAGATGGCTCAGAGTCCTTTCAAAGCCATGTTGTTAAACACCTTCAAAGTGCTACATAGCCCTCTAAACACAGGATGATCCTCCGAAGTGGCACCCTGGCAGATGCCGGGGCCGAGGTGACACATCTGCACAGCAGGAAATCTGGTCGTCTGCTCTGATGATTGGTCGGGACGGTCGTCGCTGGGTGTGCAGCTGTAAAAGTCCCCGTGAAAGCCAGAGACGGCGTGAAAACAATGTTCAAAGACACCATGATGACAGCTCTAACACTTGTTAGGGGTTTGGGAGTTGGTTGGAGGAGGCTTTAAGCTGTCACTGTTGAACGCATGAACTTGTTCTCGCAGAAAACTAAGTGTGGTGGGAGGACATGAGTGTGCTTGTTCTGTCATTTGGACTGACGCAGGAAGGGAAATCACTCTTCCACCTGGATCTTTGAACCACCCCCGTGGACAAATTAGACATCACCGAAATGAAGAGGTGTCTTTGTTTTTTGTGTCGCTTCACAGGGAACCACTAACGACGGACCAGAAGCCACAAGGTCCTTTGGTGCTAACAGATCTGGGGGCGGGTTCCTGGACAGGAGGCGGCGTCCCTCAGGGCAGTGCGGGGGTGACTCACCGAAGGGAGCAAGAAACCAGCAATCAGAGCCAAACGTTCAAAGCATAACCCAAAGTTTTGTAAATTTGTTTCATACCTCATTTTTAGTTGTTTTGTTTTTCTTTTCTACTGTGTTTTTGTATTTTGTGAGTTATTTTGTTTCCTGTTTGAAGAAAAAAAAGTCAACAAAGCTTTTTTATGTAAAACTTGAGCGTCAGGGTTTTATTATTTTTTACTGAGCATTTAGAGGATATGTTTATGTATGGCCCTGAGATGAAGAAGCATTTCGACCCTACACAGCTAGTACCAGGCCAGAGCCGCGAGGCTCACATCTGCCCTACAGGTGTCCATGTTACTGGTAGCACATGGTTACATAGACCTCCATCACTGCCATAGATTTTATTTTGATAACCAAATATTAGTGAAGTCCTGACTTTAACCTTTGCTCTGATGTGTATTTCTCACCTGGAGAAAAGATAACTTGTTTGAGCTAAATATGTTTTAATACAGATCAGATCTCTTAACTGTTAATGAGACGTGATATTTATAATAAAATGTGATTGGATTTTTTTTTTAGGGGACTGTTTTTTTTTAATGTTGTGTAAATAACTCATTCATAAATTCAAAAGGCGAGAAGACCGTCTGTAAGCAGATAAAGGCTAAAGCAGTGATCAGGACTCAGCTGTGGGTCACCATGAGCCACACGGACGGTCTTAAGGTGATTTCCAGGCATCAAAATAAAATGGAAAACAGAACGAAACAAAGAACGAGTTCCATGCTTTTGTTCTTTTTTTAAACACAGAAACAGTTTTGTTTACCTGTTTGTAGCTACAGTTTCGCCGACGGCTGCCGGCTTCTTCAGGCTGACGCTGATGGTGGCGCGTCACTTCCTTCTCCGTTTATCTGCGGGCAGCAGAGGACGTTGTCGCCCTCTACTGCCCGCTCTCCCCTCTCCGACGATGCAGTCCCATGCGTGGTCCAGCGTGTAAACTCCGTCGTCCCTGTTCATGGTCCCACATCCACGTCTCCTTATCTCGAATGCTTCCTTGATCCATCTTTTGTATTTTTGTTGTTCGGTGGTTATGATCCGTGTGTTGTCCCAGTCCATTATATGGTTTTCTCTTAAGCAATGATCTGTTACGGCTGACTTTTTTATTGTACTTTCTGCTGCTTCTTTTGCTGCTCTTGTGTGTTTACGATTTGCCTCTTTCTCACACTCCTTTCTGTGTTCTATTGTCCGTGTATTGAGTTGGCGTCCGGTTTCTCCTATGTATGTTTTATTGCATATTTTGCATGGGATTTCGTAAATGACTCCACATTTTTGTCCAGCTGATATTTTGTTTTTTGGGTGTACTAATCTGTTTCTAACTGTTGTGTATGGCTTTATTGGTGTGTTTATGTTGTGTTTTTTCATTGTTGCTCTTATTTTTTCCGTTATGCCTCTGATGGTAGGGTTATCACTGGTTTTGGTTCTTGTCTTTCTGGGTTTCTGGTTCTTTTTTGGGGTTGTTCTTTGCTTTCTGTTTTTGTTTGTTGTTTTCCTTTGTTTATCGCCCATGTCGGGTTTATCGGCCCATGTCGGAGAGGGGAGAGCGGGCACGGGCAGTAGAGGGCGACAACGTCCTCTGCTGCCCGCAGATAAACGGAGAAGGAAGTGACGCGCCACCATTAGCGTCAGCCTGAAGAAGCCGGCAGCCGTCGGCGAAACTGTAGCTACAAAACAGGTAAACAAAACTGTTTCTGTGTTTAAAAAGAACGAAAGCATGGAATTAGAAAGACACAGCAAGAACACACCTAAGATGTTCAAAGAACGAGTTATTTTGATTGTCGTGGAAAAGACGTTAGACTGTGTGAGAAGGGTCAGCTCACTAGCCTCAAGCAGAGGAAACATCTCAGGATGTAGAAACGACTAAAACTGGGTTAAGTTATTAAAAACTGGTCTGATGAGTCCAGATGGACCCTGTTCCGGAGTGATGGTGCATCAGGGTAAGAAGAGAGGCAGATGAAGTGATGCACCCATCATGCCTACTGTAAGCCTGTGGGGGCAGTGTCATGATCTGTGGTGGCTGCAGTGTGTCAGGTCTAGGTTCAGCAACAGGATGTGCTCCAAGAATGAGGTCAGCTGCCAGCTGTGGGCGACGGTGGCACAGGAGTTAAGTGCTCGCCCCGTAATCGGAAGGTTGCAGGTTCGAGCCCCGCTCAGTCTGTCGCTGTCAATGTGTCCTTGGGCAAGACACTTAACCCACTTTGCCTGCTGGTGGTGGTCGGAGGGACCGGTGGCACCAGTGCTCGGCAGCCTCGCCTCAGTCAGTGCACCCCAGGGCAGCTGTGGCTACATCGTAGCTCATCACCACCAGCGTGTGAATGGGTGAACGACTGGTTGTGTTGTGAAGCGCCTTGGGGGGTTCCAGGACTCTAGAAGTCACCATATCAAATACAGGCCTCTTGAATGACCAGGTTATTCCATCTTCCCTGACGGCACGGGCATATTCCAAGATGACAATGCCAGGATTCATCGGGCTCAGATAGTGAAAGAGTGGTTCAGGGACCATGAGACATCGTTTCCACATATGGATTGGCCACCACAGAGTCCAGACCTTAACCCCGTTGAGAATTGTTGAGTTATCTGGGGTCACGTCTTGAAAAATGACCATTTTTGGATTTGAAGCTATAAAGTTTTGGAACAGCTGGACAAGAGGACCACCTCTAAGACATTTGCTCTTCCTTTAATTGCAGTTGGACATTATTCAGAAGTTTAATGTTCTTGAGACTGTGGATGGGGACACGTGAAGATAATTAATGAATAAGACATGATAATATGAGCGACAACCAGAGTCCAGCAGTTTCCAGAGTGGTTAGAGGACAACTCTAATATTAAGGTTTATCATTGTTAGATGAAAGCACCTTTCTCTTTTTGAAGTGGACATGAAAGACAACCGAGGACACCATGGAGTTTTAGACGGATGAGATCAAATTGGAGCTTTTTGGCAAACGCCTCATCTCTATGATCACAAACACAAGCTCGGTTCTGCTCTGCTGCATCTGGACCAGAGTCTTGAATCTGTTCAGGGTCCAAATGAAATCTTAGGACTATCAATGTTCCGGAACATTCTAGTGTTTCAACCATAAAGCGGATGATTTCAGAAAAATTTGAAGAGTTTGGGGGCCTGTCTACTTTGTAGAAGGCATCAGCACCAAATCAGGATGTTGCCACCACCATGCTTAACAACTGGTTCAGTCTTGGATCGTTTTAAACAGCCCAGTCTGGTCCGATGAGAAAACTTTCCTAAAGGAGACATTTTTGTCCACGAGGACAGTCGAGTTAGAAGGTATCTCTTGACACAGTCAAAGTCAAACTCCTGAACCAAATTCTTTTTTCCATCCAGAATAAAACCAATCACAGAAACCCCAGAATCAGGAAGTCGATTAAGTCTGGCACAAAGTAAATAAGCAAAATTAATATTTACCGACTCAAAATAATCGTTTTATTCCCGCTGTGGAGAAAAACACCAGCTCAACAGTATCCACCTCACCGCTTCCTGCTGAACAACAAGCGGTAAATGAACATCTGACCCTGGATGTTTAAAACTGATGCAACAACAGAATCATTTATGTCCCTTTAACCATCCCAGCAAACAAGAAGGGCCTTTGTTCTCAAAATTAAATAAAAATAAAATCTCCATCAGTCCTTTGCTTCCTCCTCATCTGCCGACCTTGCCCAGCCTGTGGTCCGTCTTTGGGTCGGCTATGATGGCCTGAACGGCGACGATGGCCTCGTTGATCTTTGTCTGCAGCTCTCGTAGCTCCTCGATGTGCAGCAGGCGCAGGATCTGGGCCGCCTCGTTCAGGGTCGCATCTGAGGTCGGAGAACCACGGAGGTCAGTTTTTCTCTTCTACACCGATGGGTGTTGTGGTAGCCAAACACAAAAACTCACCTCCAGTGTCAAAACCCAAAACGTGTTTGTCTAAAGCCACCGGGACTCCCTGGGGACAAAAGAGAAAGTATGAAGCTTAAAGATCAGAATCACAAGCTGAAGGTGATCCAGAACAAAATGTTTTCTTTCAGATTTACTGATCATCGATTTAAATGAAACAATATGGGCTAAGAAAATAAATAAATAAAGACTTCACGTGACATTTTTATAGTGCGTACACTCAAAAAAAAAATCATAGAACAGCTCAGGACTTCTGAAGAGTGTTTCTGGTTAAATGTCGTCTAGTTGTTGTGGAAAGGCCTTTGAAAACCCTCAGTTTAGAGAAATGGAAATTAGCTAATTGTGACAAGCTAGCAGCTAGTCAAAATGAGGCTAATTATAAAATGTCTTAAAATAACTACAATCTCTAAATCATGCAAATACTTTTTTACAATTAATACTGTCATAAATGTCATGTTTTGTAGTTAATCTAGCACATTGGTTCTCAATTAGTGAGGCGGGGCGGCTTGAGAGTCCACGTAAGTAGAAGCCATATTCAACACGTACCTTGACATCACTGAAAAGAATTGAGGACAACTGTTTAAGCAGAAATATTATGAAAAGCCAGCCAGAAGCACCATGTGTGTAAATAATAGGGGTGTGTATTGGTGAAATTACGGCGATACGATACGCATCACGATACAGGGAAGACGATACAATACATCACGATATATTGCGATACATTCGATATTAACGACTCTTTTTAGACAGAATTCATCATAGTGAAATTCAACAAACAATCCAAACCGATACTAACATGTTTAACATGAGGTATCTGAACCATAATGGAGGGATTTGCATTTCAACGGTGGAAACAAAACCCACTGGCACACTGCTGCCAACTAGTGGTCGGTGTTTGAATTGCACCAAAAGAAATGAAAATACACAAATGTTTGTATGTAAATTCTTCCAAAAAATAGATACACGGCTTTTGAATATCGATATATCGCAGAAAACTATACCGCAATATATTGCGATATCGATATTTTCGATACACCACTTTTGAAAATCGATATATCACTGGAAAAAAAATCACGATATATTGCCATATCCATATTTTCTGACAACCCTAGTAAATTATTATTATTATTTAATAACTGATATATTTTTAACTAGAGCGTTTTAAAAATTGCAAACTCTTTCTCCAAACTGAGGCCATTCAAAGAACTCCCTACAGCTGGTAAGATACTAACTGTTCACAGAAACACAGAAAAATGTTTAACGTTATCTTCAAGACTAATAAGGTCATTTTCTTGATCATTTTAGCTAATTCTACCATTTCTGTTTAATTGACTAGTTTGTTGCTGTTTTACAGTGTAACGTGTACCTCTCTGTTCTGGTTGGCTTTTGTGATGGCCTCTGGTGAAAGTCTCTCCTGGATCAGGATGCGGATAGCCTGCCGAGTGAAAACATTAGGAAACGTCACAAAGTAAACAACTTGAGCACATTCAGGGATGATGTAGACACGCATACAGCTCACCTTGAGCATGACCAGGTAATCGTCATGTCGTTGGATCTTTAAAATGTTCGCCAGAGCGGTGACTCCTGCTTTAAAATCTGGAGAACTGCCTGAAATGTATTTATTTTTTATTAGACCTTTAGGTGATGAATGAAACATTAAAAGGTAGAAACAGCAAAGATGTGTTCCTGCTTACTGTCCAGGTTGATGAGAGGATCCACGGCTCTGTCGCCGTTCCCCGAAGCGGCCAGCGGCGGGCAGTTTTTATACTTATCAACTACAAAACAAAACACCCAGAATAAGGAAAAAACGCCATCATATAATAACCTAATTATAATTCAGCTTTCTATGCGTGTTGGCATTATTTCCTTTGTTATGGCCCCCTCTATTGGTCATGGTCGGTATTTCAACCATTGACACACCACATCAAAGCTGTGATTTCTGAATAAATATCATTTTAGGAGGTTTTAACAGATAAACGATCACATAAGATACCGTTGTCTCCATATTCATAACGCACAGCCAGGCCCAGTAACCAGTCCAAAGCCTCCTTACGCTCCTGGACTCCAAATGGACAGGTCAGGTCCTGCAGGTACTACACACACACACACACACACACACACACGCACACACACACACACGCACGTAAGCTCTAGTTGGGACTCTTGTTAGGAGATGAGCTCTGAGATAGTCTCACCTTCTCATAGGCTTTGGGCCACTCAGAGCTGGGGATGTTCCTAAGGTTGCCCCGGTCTTCGATCTTGTAGTGTCGGATCTTCTGGTCCTCCAGCCACACGATGCAGTTTCTGAAGTGAGTTTCATCTGACAAAAGCGGATGCGTCACTATTTTACTGGTTTTATGAAAACACATAATTTTTTTTAATCACCATCTGCTGTCATACACTCTGATAATTAGTGAAGCAAAGGAGTCCAGCTGTTTAACTGATAAATATAGCCCAATGAGACACACGGTCATCGTTTAGTCTGCTAGACTAGCAAAATACATCCCTAGAAATTAAGCTATCTTACAAATATTAATGCCGAATACACATGTGGTGTGTTTTTGATTGATTTATGTAGATATTAAAGCTGATAAAACACGTGTGCTACTAAAACTGAGCACAACCTTAAAATAGTCTATTTGTAGCGTTTAGTTCGCCGTCTCAGGACTTCGTGCTAACTTGGTTCCATTAAAACTCACCGAACCTCCTAAACAGCCTGTTTATTGCTTACCTGAGCAGTCGAACCCGCTGGGATCGTGATAATCTAGAGCTGTTAGTTTTCTGCGAAACATTTCACGAAGTTTTTATGTGAAATCCTTCGTTGTTTCTAAATAATTAAACCTTAAATGACCACTACGTTGCTAGCTCAGTGTGCGGCAGCGCGCATGCGTTGTCGGAGTTGAGTATTTCCGGTTGTGCTTTCCAAAATAAGAGCTAACAACGAATTCACATCTGAAACAAGTGTCTTATTACGTCACAGGATGGATGCTACTCTGAAGGAACGAACTGGTTTAGTAAAGGAAGTGTATGGAGAGGCCAGGAAAAAGGGGACCTTTGCCATTGTCTCATTTCAAATACCCACATTTGAGTTTGTTGAAGCATACGTCCATTACTTTAAGCTTGTAGACGCCAAAGAGCTTGAAATAACGTTATCCGTGGTCTATCTTTTTCTTTAAAACGACTTAATACCAGCTCAGTGGTCTAGTGGTAGTGTGTCCGCCCTGTCTGGAATTCGGGGTTCAAATCCCAGTCGTGTCACACCAAAGACTTTAAGAATGGGACCCAATGCCTCCTTGCTTGACACTCAACTTTAAAATGGTTGGATTGGGGGTTAAACCACCAACTGGTTCCTGAGCACAGCCATAATTACAGCTCACCCATCCCTATGGCGATGGGTCAAATGTGGAGATGGCACCTTAACTTAAATACATAGTTTATATAACGAAACAGAGAAGTCTCTATACAAATTTGCAAAAAAAAAAAACCAACTTTTTAAATTAAGGATTATCATTCAAGTGAGTTTGGTATGTTTGATCAAAACTGGTCTGTTTTTGCAAATTAACTCTTCACAAACACACATTATTGATATTAACTACTCAACAACAGTCTATAGGGAAAAAACAGCTTTATTAAACATGAAGAATTATAAAATGAGGCTAAACTACTCAAGAGAACCCAAAAACAGATGTATCGCTTCATGTGCGTTCAGAAGGGCCTCATGCGTTGGTTGAGGGGCGGGGCTCTGTTGGGCGGTGTGATGGCTATGTCCAAATAGTCTCCAATCTGGAACCGCTGGGACTGCAGCGTCATGGAGTCTTCCAAACCCTTCCTGCCAGACATGGTACTGCCGATCTCTTTTAACCTGAACATTGTAAAAAGAGATGCACAAACTCAGTCCACAGGAATTCATGAACAATAGTATGATTTTACGACCTCGATCTGTGTTGCTCGACACTTACTTGTACATTTTCCCTCTGGGTTCTGGATAGACTATGGCAAAGCTGAAGTGGGTCCCCTTTTTCCTGGCCTCTGGATACACTTCCTTCACTAAACCAGTTAGTTCCTTCAGAGTAGCATCCATCCTGTGATGTAAACAAACACTTGTTTCAGAGGTTCTGTAGCATATACCAGAAACGTAATGGTTTGTAAGTCTTACCAAGTGTAGATTTGCAACTCGCTGGAAGGAACGTTCCCTCTAGAAAATTCCTCTATTCTGTGGTGTCGGCCACTGTTGGTAGTAAATACTCTCAGGAGGAGGGGGCAGGTCTGAAGGAAACAAGAAAACTAAGTTAAACATAAGCAAAAGTACAAATAAATATCACATTCTTTACATGTGATTTAAATATATGAACACATTTAGAATAACTGATGTAAATGTCAGTGTTATTTCAATGATTCAACTGGATTTTTTTTTACATAAACCTTATTTTGAAAGTTTTCATCAGGGCAAAGTGAGTTCCGAAGTGAGTCTTCGCTGCCCCCTGGTGGCCGTAATAAGTACCTACAGCTGATAGAAAGAAATGGCTTTTTAAGATTGCCATCTGGTTCCTGATTAAGAAATTTAGTGAACTTTTCTGCAACCTTTTAATGCACATGTGGGAAAAATGTTTTTATTAGGCTGAACCCAAAAACAGAAATTACAATTTTTTTACAGAATAAGAAAAGTTATCTTAAACTATATTTGAAATATGATTGCCCTTTTCTATTAACCATTTCTTATTGTAAAATATTTATTTATATCAATTCTTTATTATTGTAAATTATCCAATAGAAACTTATTTGTTTTCGCAGGTATAAGTCTACAGCAAATAAAATCAATTTATAATTCACAAATATCCGTTATTTTTTCTTATGGTCAACCCTTTTTCTCCTGCTAAACGTAAATAATAGACAATTACATCTACCTTCGTTTATTTATTTAACAGTTTTATTTGTGTTTCTGCTGTTTATTACTCTTGTGCTTGCGCGTTAAATAGCACAAATAAAAATACTTGGTTTTTTTTGTTTATTTAATTTATCTGCCTTAAGAACAATAAAAATGCAGGCTTAAAAGTATTATTTTCAACTTTCAAATGTAACCATGTTCATCTGTTCAGGGAAAACCGACTCATTTACAATACTGAAAACATTTATAGGTCTTTTCATGTAAAGCGTTGCTAGCATTAGCTTATTAGCATGCTAGACGGTGCCGTCAAGATAAATCTTACACAATCTTAATTTATTTAGTTCAAATAAAACATTTACGACACAGAATTGAAAACGACTAAATTAAATAGCAGTAAATGACCGTTTTAAAACACTTTTTAAGCTTTTACTCCTCCCGACTGCCGTTTTAGCGTTTAAAACTAGCTAACCAGGTTAGCTAGAAGCACACAACACGGTGAGCGAGTTACTGAACATTACCCAAACATTAACCTTTTCCCGGTCGATGGGCTTTTCGGGCTCCTTCTTAATTTCCTCCTGAGTGATCCGCGACTCAAGGGCCATTTTTGTTTAACACCGTTAAAATGTTATTAAGCTGTCTGGCTGCAACTTGCGTCTTTCAGCGATGATATTTTTACGGCAACATGAACATAACGTAAAGCGTAGGCTTTTCCGGTCACGTGAAAGTAAGGCAAGTTATTCACGTTACTCCGTTTTTAGGTTATTTTTTAAACACAGCAAAGGTTTTCTTTACCTCCTGGAGAAGCGATCGAAACTGTTAACATGGCAAAAATAAAAAAAATCCTGTGTTTTTAAAAATAACTTTAAAAAGCGTTTAGAAGAAAAACACAGCATGAATTTACAGGGATGGCAAGTTATTGTTTTACATAAGCAAACCGCTCTCTCAAGTTTCAGTGACAGACTCATTAGTATTCTCTGTTGGCACTTCTCACCAACCAGAATATAAACTAGAAAACATAAATTTCTGAAACTGAACTCAGCACACTACACTTTAATCTGAATAGTGACTTCAATTCAGAAGATTGTCAGAACATTGAACATTACACACGGCAAGAACAGGGCGAATAAAAACAACTCTTGCTGCCTACACAAGACTAATTCAAATATCAAAATGTACGAATTTAAGGTAAAATTCTTATTAGAAAATAGAAAATGAGAAATGAGATTTATATGCTATATTGGGTTGCCATAACCATAGCGTGAAGTACCGGTAGTTACATTACCATCTGATGGCCAAAACCCAAATTGTCCTATGAAATGAGCCGAAAAAATGTATTGAGTTTATCCAGGATTCCTGGTTATTTTGCATTCAAACTCCGTTGAAATATAATCATTTACGTCTTTTAATTTCACTTAGCTTGGTTTCTTTCTGCATATTCACTATAGAGTAATGCGATTTGAAGTTCTCTGACTCAGAAAAGCGCTACATACAGTAAGTGTGAGTTATTTATCATTTGTACACTGCACGGCCCAAAACAATAAGTCACCACCAAATTAAAAGTTCCCAGACTCTAATATTTTGTTGGACTGTCTTTAGCTTTGATTACGACATGTATTTACTGTGGCATTGTTTCTGCACAAGAATTATTTCCATCCAGTGTTGAATTGAAGTTTCACAAAGATCTTGCATTGATGATGGTAGAGTCAGACCGCTGCACAAAGCCTTCTCCAACACATCCTAAAGATTCTCAATGGGGTTAAGGTCTGGACTCTGTGGTGACCAATCCATGTGTGAAAATGATGTCTCATGCTCCCTGAACCTCTCTTTCACTATCTGAGCCCGATGAACCCTGGCATTGTCATCTTGGAATATGCCCGTGCCAACAGGGAAGAAGGAATGACCTGGTCATTCAGTATATTCAGGTAGTCAGCTGACCTCATTCTTGGAGCACATCCTGTTGCTGAACCTAGACCCGACCACCTGCAGCAACCCCAGATCATAACACTGCCCCCACAGGCTTGTACACTAGGTACTAGGCATGATGGGTGTATCACTTCATCTGCCTCTCTTCTTACCCTGATGCACCATCACTCTGGAACAGGGTCCATCTGGACTCAGACCAGTTTTTAAGAATGCGTTGGACAGTTCTTAACCCAGTTTTAGTTGTTTCTGCAATCTCCTTAGATGCTTTCTCTGCTTAATGCACGCCAATGATCTGACCCTTATAACATCTCTTCCATGACCACCAGATGTGTCGTTCCTCATGGTTGTTTAAGAAATGAGAAGCAACTCAGTGTACCAGTTGGAGTTAAATAACTCGTTGATAATCGCCCATGCAGTAATTATCCAATAAGCTCGTGCCCATTTGCTTAGTTAAACCATGTGAAGACTTTCTTTTGGGACCGGGTGGTGCATTTGGTTGGAATTATCTTTAAATCTTGGTCCTGTTGGACTTGACCTCCATCCAGCCACTCATGAAAATAGAGCACTAAACAGATTTTTTTCTGCAATATTTTACTAGTTATACAAAGAAACTTTGCAGAAGTGACTCACTTCTCTGATAGAGATCAACATCTTCCTGTTGGTTTGAGTCCACTTATGCAGATCAAATGTCTTCTGATCATTCATGAGCAGATACGACTTGTTTTAACTATAACTTGACAGACAATACCACTTGCAACACCTTCTTTAATCAGATCTCATTGTACTAAATCCAATTCTGTGTCCACACTGCTCCAGTGTTATCCATAAAATGGTCAAGATTCCATGGTAATTCCCTGGTATGTTAGCCAAGAAATCTAGACCAACCAATAATAACACAATAGCAAAAGAGTTTGCTCTGCACGTTTTATTTATGCACATCTATTAACACATGCAGGATGGATTGCCAGGCCACTGGTTTGTTGGACTGAAGACAAAAAGTGTTTCTGACAGCTCAGACTTTGGTGGAAAACAAACACAATAAACATCCAAGACATCTTTGTGGGATCAGTCAGCCAAGTCCTCCCACAGATCAGCTATTTGGTCACATGCAACCCCCCCCCCCCCCCCCCCCCATACGCACAAACACACAGACTTTACAGCCTTTAAACATATATGTGAGTGTTTGCTGACAGTACCCCCTTCTGTTCTCCGTTCGGATGGCTGATCAGAGACCAGCCCCTCCATCACCCCTCATAGACCACCAGACTGTTACGTTCCAAAGCTTCTCCCGTTCCGTCATTGTTAGACATGACCCAAAAATCCCACAGAGGCTCTTTGGGTCCGGCCCTGACACTGATACTCATTCAATGATATGCATCACCATAAAGTACCATTCCCTAAAGGAGTACAGTAGAATCAGCGGAGTCTTATTTCCTTATGAAAGTGCTGCCGATCATTTAGACGCATCGCTCAAAAAAAAAAAAAAAAAAAAACGGCCAAACTACGATCGGAATTTTTACAACATCTTCAGAATTCTTCTAGTGAGTTACTGACACAGCAAGGTGGAAGTTGCTTTTTGCTCCCGCACTTCAGCAGACAATGGGAGAATGTCATCTGTTACGGTCTTTACCAGCACACAGAGGTGCTCTGTGCCTTGGGCTGACTGCTGCCAGGAGGTGGTTGGGTTCTGACCAAACACTTACCTGGGTCCAGTTACAGTCAGAGATCTCAAATGAACACCCTTTCGAATACACAATGCACGCTTTAATCTTTCCATCTGTGGTTTTTAGAACTTTTATGTTCTGTGGCAAACATAAAAGTCAACTTTGCTTAGTTTAGATGTTTAAGGACAATGGCGTTTTGGTTCCATCCTCCTCAGCCGATCATAAATATTCTTACAGATCTTGGTGAATGCAATAGCTCCTGTATCTCTGAGGCCATGGTTCTTAACTAGAAGAAGGTGACAGTTGGAGAGGATGATGAATCCCTTTTGTTTGAATGAAGTCCTTGCCTCAAGAGGAGGGGTTCAAGGATTTCTTAGGTGTGTTCTTGCTGTGTCGTGGTTCTAATTCCATGCTTTCGTTCTTTTTAAACACAGAAACGGTTTTGTTTACCTGTTTTGTCGCTACAGTTTCGCCGATGCCGGCGAAACTGTAGCGACAAAACAGGTAAACAAAACCGTTTCTGTGTTTAAAAAGAACGAAAGCATGGGTTCAAGGATTGTTTGTTTCGTTCATGGGTGATGGGTGGAGGTAATGAGGTCGTTGCTCTGCTTTGTAGTAGCTAGCAAAACTTAGAGTGAATCAGCGAATTTATTTATTTCCTAACCCTCAACTATAGTCAAGAGATTTGGACCAAAACAACAAGACCCTGGATACAGGCAGCCAGAGGTGCGAACTCGAGTCACATGACTTGAACTCGAGTCAGCCTCGAGTCATTATTTTTAATGACTTCTGACTTGACTTGATAAAATTTATAAAGACTTACGATTTGACTCGGACTTGATTGCCAGTGACTTGCAACTTTAATCGACTCGCATCTGTTGACTTGATGATGACTTGAGCATATTTGATATTTTAGCAGAAAAGTGACACGACATGGACAAAAATCATGAATCATTCTTCGTTCTGGGTTTGATTTACTGCTAAATGCAGCAGCACTTTGTTTAGAATCAGTTTCAGTTGCATTTTCTGCTTGTTTGTGCAAATAGACGAAGCTTTAAGAAGCTTTATTTCTGGAATTTATTTATTATCATTGTCCTTACATTGAAGTTGGACAGATGACTTGATTACGACTTGAAAATTCAAAGTTAAGAACTTGGTCTTCCACATCATTGACTCTGGACTCGACTTGGACTTGGTTGTCTTTGATTTGGACTTGACTCGAGACTTGACTGGAAGATTTGTGACTTACTTGTGACTTGCAAAGCAGTGACATGGTCACACCTCTGCAAGCAGCTGAAATGAGCTTCCTCCAAAGGTGACTCTGGGTCAGCCTTTGAGACAAAGGTGGTGGAAGCTCAGACTGGAACCACTGGTGCTCCTTATCAAAACGATATTTTGGTTAGCTAAGTTGATGGTAGTGCTAGGGTGCTAATGCTAGTTTTGTCAATGGTTCACAGCAGACTTGATCACGTTGCTGTTCCTCATATCCACTCGACTTACTAGACAAGAAGTCAATTTGTAAGCAATCTGTGACTGCAAATAGGAGGAAAAACATATTTTTGCACTTTTACCCAGGCTAATGTTTTTCTTAACCATTAGTTTGGTGGCAGGATCCAGCAGGTGGAGATGTTTCTCTCCTTTCCCAGGTGCTGAGTGGTCCCAGCTGGAGCCAACTACCTCATCAAGGCAGCAGTATTTAGGAGGAGTGGAGCCACCAGACGTACGTCAGCTGATTCCGTTTATGGAGTGGTAAACTGACCACGCGCCCTCTAGTTGGGCTTCCCCTCGTGCCAGGTAATCAATCACCTGTGATTCTATGTTCCTCGCAGCAACCCCTTCCGCATCTTTGAAGACCCAGGAAGTTCCTTATCGGTTCATACTTTCAAGTTCTCTTCTCCATGTCTTCACTGGTTTGGACGTCCGTCTCCCTGGGTGTGGCCACTCCTCTCTCCGCCGCTGCAATAGCTCCAGCACTGGATTCTGCCAAGCCGCTCAGCTCTCCTGTGGAAAGAAAACACCACTAACCCACCGCGCAGCTCGCACAACCTTCAACCACCCTGAATACTCACCTCTCTCTCAGGACCGGTCCCTCCGCAGCTCCAGTGAGTTATCGATTCCAGTTAATCATGCTAAAGGATGTTCAGTTCGGTTCTACATATACTTACCATACCTACCTTTTCCAGTGAAGATCCTCCTAGAATCCTCGTCTCCTCTTGGTCTCTCGATTCCTCTGGTCCAGAAGAAAATGAACAGTTATGAGAAAAACTTGTTTCTAAGTCCGAGTGTGCCGTGTCTGCTTAAGAGTCACTCATTCGAGATCATGACAGCTTGGCATGGTCCTTTGACACTGAACAAAGACAGGGCTGCCAACTCCCCCCCCCCCCCCCCCCGCTCTCATGCCAAGAAAAGTTAAAAAGTTGGCATTCAAAAGGTTTTTTTCCCTTTACAATTGCATATTGTAGAGCAAATATATTGATGATTGCCCCCCTCTCTAACAGAAAATACCATCAGCAGATTTTTTTTTATTTTGGGGGCACCAGTGCTGGGCCTGGTCCCCCCCAATATTAAACTCATTCCTACACCCTTGATTTTTTTTTTTTTTTTTTTACATTCAACCACTGCCGTAATGTGTTCTGTAGTTGACATAGTGTATGCTAACTCTGAAGGCAAGTTTCAGTGGATTTTTAAAACTTGCAACTCATAATTTCAAACTCCGATAACTCTTTGTGAGCATATTAGTAAAATTTTACTAATGAATATATTTAATCCTCCTGTGTGTGTGTTTTCCCTAATGTAGCACTGATATTTATTTTGAAATGCTTCACAGGAAGTCATCCAATTTAAATCCCAGCTGGCTTCACCGTCTAAGGGGGAAATTCATGCAGAAGACGCAGAAGCTGCAGATTTGGGTTTCAGTGCTGCACCAATCAGATTCCTTCTTAAAGAAATATGACAAAAGATTGAAAATGTTTCCTTTTCCTGTTTTTCCATATCTAGAAGTGACTCTCTGAATACAAGGTAAGAGATATTTATTTAAATAAAATACTATTCGGTTTAAATTACTTACTTTAAATACTTTGCACTCTAAGTATACTTACTTGATTACTTATCATTTTTTTGACATGAAGTTTTACTTTTAGGGACCAGCTTGCACCCATATTCTAGCTTTTCCCCCGGTGTAAGTTTAGTTTAATCCGTGTGATTCAGATGAGTGAATAACAAAATAAACTGTCCTCTGATTGTGAATGGTGAAAGTGGAGGGGGCTTTTACAGTGAGTTCAGTGTGTTTTTACAACAGTGGGCTCAGCCCAGTGGGCAGAGAGGTTCTTCAGATGTTCTCATGAATGTTGGCTATATGGGCCATCAACCATCCTCCTCTCCTCTCATTCCTTTTCATCCTCTTCCTCTTTCTGACTCGTCTTTTGTTCCAACGGAAGCTTTAATCTTTTTCTGCTGAAAATGTCTTAAATTACACTGTTTACCACAGAATCCTTATGCTAAATTTTGTTTCCACACCTGCTGTAGAAGGTTATTTTTTTTAGAACGTCTGACTCAAAATATGTCAAAACGTTGGCTAAAAAGATCTAATTGGGGGCGTTCGGGATAACAAGATGGTTGTGACTAACTCTGGTTTCTGTCTGCACCATCCAGATGTCTTGGCCGGCTCTGTACGCTCAGCTGGTCGGGGTGAACCGTCACTCCACTTCTCTGGGTAAAATCTGGCTCTCTGTGCTGTTTATTTTCCAAGTCATGGTTCTTATTGTTGCTGCGGAGAGCGTCTGGGGGGACGAGCAATCTGATTTCACCTGTAACACGCTACAGGTAGGGCACTAGCATCACAAATCTGCTTCTACTCCTGCTAAGTGGGTACTGTAAAATTCACCAGCTGTATAAAGTATGTGTAAGACGTGCATCACGTTTGAATTCATGACTTTATGTGTAACCCACAACCCTCATACAGAGTTGAGTCATGTGTGTGTGGTGCGGTCTTTCAAATTGACAGTTTGACAATCGGACAGCGCTAGGACCAATCAGAGCAGGGAAATTACATATCATGTTGTCAAGCTACTGGAAATCTGCAAGACTTTTATTTTGAAAGTTTGCCAATGTTTTACACTACTTAAATGTTTTACTTCCTGTCTAACCTGATCTGAACTGCGGAGTGTGACTGTTCTGGAAGCGTAGCACATAAAAATAAACTCCAAGCACGAGCGACGCATTCTCATGCTCCTGGGACGCTTCCAAATCATAACGGTTCACGGCCGGTGGCGGCCGGTGGAAACGCACCCATCCACTCTAACACGAGCTAAATGCTGCACACGATGCTTCGCAAACGTTGCGTGAGGCTTGTGTGTCTGGTGGATGAGCCTGGGAGATCGTCAAAAGTTGATGCTGAAGCCATTTCAGTTATTCACCCATGGCGACGGTGGCACAGGAGTTAAGTGCTCGCCCCGTAATCGGAAGGTTGCAGGTTCGAGCCCCGCTCAGTCTGTTGCTGTCGTTGTGTCCTTGGGCAAGACACTTAACCCACGTTGCCTGCTGGTGGTGGTCGGAGGGACCGGTGGCGCCAGTGCTCGGCAGCCTCGCCTCTGTCAGTGCGCCCCAGGGCAGCTGTGGCTACATCGTAGCTCATCACCACCAGGGTGTGAATGTGTGTGTGAATGGGTGAATGACTGATTGTGTTGTAAAGCGCCTTGGGGGGTTCCAGGACTCTAGAAGGCGCTATATCAAATACAGGCCATTTACCATTTACCATTTCACTCCTGAGCCTCCGCCATTATTGTAGTTTTTCTCCGTTGCAGCGCTGGTGCCAAGGCCACCCAGCATCTGTCCACAAACATAGAGCTCTGTGATTGGCCCAGCCTAAACATAATAACAGAAAAGTGTTTTTCATTTACATCAAATCTCTTATAGTAGATATTTATAGATGAGGAGAAATCTTTCTCACATTATTCTAAGGAAAAAGAGAAAAGTTTTTAGTGGCCCTAATTGTCTTCTTTAAAAAAGTATCTAAAATGAAAACATCTCTTTTAGTTGCAGCTCTAAACAAGTTTTTTGCAGGTAGACTGAAGGGAAAACGGCTCTTTGGTATGTAACAGTTGCAGACACCTGCACCAGAAGAAAATCCTGAAGACCTTAAACAGACGGTTCCTGGTGGAAAACTGAATTAAAACAATTTTTTAAAGATGAGTGGTACAAAATCTCTAGTTGAGCGACACCATTGGTGTTTTAAGATTTCACAGCACTGAACGTGAATGTTCTTTTCGTTCCTAATTTCATTTCATTGCATCTTTGATATTTATTGAATCAAAGCTACATGATCTCTTTATGTCTATTCAATAAAAGCAAATATGAAAGCCCAACCAAATGCTCATTCGTTGATTTTATTTCTAATAAATCTGACATAAACATCCTGATTGTCTATAGTCAGCACATGGTTCCGTAACATCAATGTCTTTGGAAAATATCCCTTAAGCCAGCCCCTGCTTCTCACTGTGATTGCACATGCATGATTTATGTTGGACAAAACCCCGTTTTAGGTGCGTACACATGCAACCAGACTTATAGCGAAGTTAGGTGAAAAGCCAAAACAGATAAAATATGAAAAAAGGTAACGCTACGGATATGCTAGCAACATTACCAATACACCTATTGTATATTTGTTATAATAACAATTACACAAAAGTTATTGTAAACCTTAAGTTTAATATTCAGCTTAGCGATCATAAGCCATTGTCATCTACATCGCCCCCTGGTAACAGCCTAGTTTATTCACACAAAACTAATGAACAGAAACTAATTCAGGTGAGAATTTTTATTTGAACTCAGAACGATCCTACCTTTTGTTCCCCCAGCCCGGCTGTGAGAACGTCTGCTATGACCAGTTCTTTCCTGTCTCCCATATCCGCCTCTGGAGTCTTCAGCTTGTCTTCGTCTCCACACCAACACTCCTGGTCTCAATGTATGTGGCTTATCGTAACCGTGGCGACAAGAGACGGCTTATTCAGGTGTGTTTGCTGTTTTCTTAAACAAACCCTGAAACTAAGGATTTTGCCAAATTGAATGCATTGGTGACCTCATTGAATAATAAGATGATTGCCACTAGATGTTGAGGTAAATACAACCTCACCTGTAAAAATCGTACAAAACATACATCAAAATTTGCCCTTTGATCATTGCCACTTTTTCTTCAAATAAAAATGATAAAAAATAAAAAAAAACAGACTCACAACAATAGGATTTTTGTGGTTGTGGTTACCACAGTGACCCATAATAAGCCACTGGCAGCAGGTTAAACTTTTCTACCTAATGTCTTCGCACTGTTTTAATCAGCAAAACGTTGGCACTGTGTCATCTTCAGTCTCATAGAAGTTGGTTCCAATTGGAATTCATGGAAGAAAGTTGTGAGTAGAAAGTTCAAATGTGGACAGTAAATCATAACCCCGCACAGAATAACCAAAGACCAATGCAGCTCTGCTTCTGAAAATTTAACCAACATCTGCTCTTTGATGAACCTTGGAGGCCACAAAAGCCGTCTCCTTCAAGAGGCACACAACATCCTACAAAAATGACCCTGACTAGATTAGCCAACTGAACAAGGCCCTTATTGTTAAACATACTATTTAAAGACAAAAAAAACCCAACTTGTCGAACAATCCCGGACGAGCCCCCAATTTTTAAAACGTGGTTCAGGAAGCCACAACAGTGAGAGCTTATTGTGTAAGTGAGCCGTTGGTCACATTGGGATCTTTATTCAGAACATTCCTGGCTTTTACCATTCTGTCTTGTATTCTTTATCTCAGTGTGTTGTGTATTTTCATTTAGCTGTGAAATAAAATCATTTTATTTTGTTGTTTCATGCAATCCGGTGTGACAGAGTTCAGGTCGAGCTGGTTTCCTCGGCAACAAGGGACAAGAGGAAGAATTAGAGACACTGAAGGAGAGGAAGCTGCTTGTCACTGGCGCCCTCTGGTGGACATACATCTGCAGCCTGGTGGTCAGGCTTCTGTTTGAAGGTGGATTCATGTAAGACCTGGGATTCAGATTACCCCTCACTTTTTCCTAATACTGGTTTAGGTGTATGCACATGGTGGGTTTTTGTCTCCCCAGGTACGCCTTGTATGTGGTGTACAATGGTTTTCAGATGCCCCGGCTGGTGCAGTGCAACCAATGGCCATGCCCCAACCTGGTGGACTGTTTTATCTCCCGCCCCACAGAGAAAGCTATCTTCACTGTTTTGCTGGCCACCGCTTCTTCCATCTGCATGGTCCTCAATATGGCTGAGGTCGCTTATCTTATCGCCAAGGCTCTCACTAGGTAGAGGTTGTTAATCAGTCAGGTGACCCCCCTCCCCTTTCCATTTTAAAAACGCATTTTACATGTGCCTTTGAGTTTCAGCTCAAAGTGTGCAAATTCATGTATAAGGAAAATCTGTGAATGCTAAAGAAAATTCAAGGAGCAGCAAGAAGAAAATCGGGATTAGAACGAACCAGATATCCACCGAGTCAACCTGAACATCTGAGAGACGACTGGAAAATTTGTAAATGTCCCATGAATGTAAATATATTTCCAAAAAGAGGGAATATTGTATGAAACCCAAGATGTTGACGTGCAACAGGAGTGAAGAAGAAATTTTCCTAAGATGTGTTAAGTTTGACATGGAATCATTTGTTAAAAATCTTCACTGAACAGCTGCACATTAGGATAAAATGGAGGGCAAACGTGCAAAGAACAATAATGCAGTTTGGAGCCACAGTGGCGTCTACTGAACAGCACTGAAACAGCATTAAAGGTTGAAAATGGAACATCGACACTGGCGAACACACAGGCGAACTCTGGTCTTCAACGGTGGTATTGCAACAGGAGGACTAATTTTCCAGCCGTTGGGTGTTGGTTTACTGCTGACACATTCCAGCATCGTGTTCAGAGACAAACCGTACAAGATAAGGACTAATTTCTATTAATAAGTTTATTTTACAACAGTATTTACCGTTAGAACATATTCTGGGCTCAGAATCAGCTGCTCGACTTGTCAAGTCTGCCATTTTACGCCGTCCCAACCTTGCCTTGCTGAGCGGACTTTTTAGAGCAACGGTGCAATCTAGTGACTGGTAGATGTAAACAAAAACAGTGTCATGCCCAGCAGAATAAAAATGTGATAATTTATCTTTTTAAATATAGCTTTTAAAGCAGAAACTACACATTCATTTTGCACACCTCTGATCGCCCCATGGAGGTATTATTTTTATTTATATACAGGTGCTGGCCAGTAAATTAGAATATCATCAAAAGGTTGAAAATATTTCAGTAATTCCATTCAAAACGTGAAACTTGTACATTATATTCATGCAATGCACACAGACCAATGTATTTCCAATGTTCATTACATTTAAATTTGATATTCATAAGTGACAACTAATGAAAACTCCAAATTTGGTATCTCAAAAAATTAGAATATTCTGAAAAGGCTGAATATAGAAGACACCTGCTGCCACTCTAATCAGCTGATTTACTCAAAACACCTGCAAAGGCCTTTAAAAGGTCCCTCAGTCTTGTTTTGAAGGCACCACAATCATGGGGAAGACTTCTGACTTAACAGCTGTCCAAAAGACAATCATTGACACCTTGCACAAGGAGGGCAAGACACAAAAGGTGATTGCTAAAGAAGCTGGCTGTTCGCAGAGCTCTGTGTCCAAGCACATTAACAGACAGGCGAAGGGACGGAAAAAATGTGGTAGAAAAAAGTGTACAAGCTCTAGGGATAACCGCACCCTGCAGAGAATTGTGACGACAAACCCATTCAAAAATGTGGGGGAGATCCACAAAGAGTGGACTGCAGCTGGAGTCAGCGCTTCAAGAACCACCACGAGGAGACTCATGAAAGACATGGGATTCAGGTGTCGCATTCCGTGTGTCAAGCCACTCTTGAACAAGAAACAGCGCAAGAAGCGTCTCGCCTGGGCCAAGGACAAAAAGGACTGGACTGATGCTGAGTGGTCCAAAGTTATGTTTTCTGATGAAAGCAAGTTCTGCATTTCCTTTGGAAATCAAGGACCCAGAGTCTGGAGGAAGAGCGGAGAAGCACAGAATCCACGTTGCATGAGGTCCAGTGTAAAGTTTCCACCGTCAGTGATGGTGTGGGGTGCCATGTCATCTGCCGGTGTTGGCCCACTCTGTTTCCTGAGGTCCAGGGTCAATGCAGCCGTCTACCAGGAAGTTTTAGAGCACTTCATGCTTCCTGCTGCTGACCAACTTTATGGGGATGCAGACTTCACCTTTCAACAGGACTTGGCACCTGCACACAGTGCCAAAACCACCAGCACCTGGTTCAAGGACCATGGTATCCCTGTCCTTGATTGGCCAGCAAACTCGCCTGACCTTAACCCCATAGAAAATCTATGGGGTATTGTGAAGCGGAGGATGCAATACGCTAGACCCAACAATGCAGAGGAGCTGAAGACGACTATCAGAGCAACCTGGGCTCTCATAACACCTGAGCAGTGCCACAGACTGATCGAGTCCATGCCACGCCGCATTACTGCAGTTATTGAGGCAAAAGGAGCCCCGACTAAGTATTGAGTGCTATACATGCACATTCTTTTCATGTTCATTCTTTTCAGTTGGCCAACATTAGAGAAACAAACATTTTTTCATTGGCCTTTAGAATATTCTAATTGTCTGAGATACCAGATTTGATGTTTTCATTGGTTGTCACCTATAGATATCAAAATTAAACGTAATAAACATCGGAAATACATTGGTCTGTGTGCATTGCATGAATATAATGTACAGGTTTCACGTTTTGAATGGAATTACTGAAATATTTTCAACCTTTTGATGATATTCTAATTTACTGGCCAGCACCTGTATAGCTTTTTATTAAAATATTCTAAAAAAAAATCAAATTTTTATTATAGCTACAGAACAGCTTTTAACTATAGAAAACATTATTTCACTGCTTAATTCTTTGTTTAATAGAATTGTAGATATTAAAATAATGCTCTTATTTTGAAATCACAAAAGCATAAAACACCAGACCATATTATCGAGTACATTTTTTATGAAACTGAGTGGACAGTGTAGAGTATGGGAAAATGAACAACTACCTGGTGACTGTGGGGGTTGCTGGAATCTAGTGAACTCCATGTTTGATTTGAGCTTTGTGACATGGAGCGATATCCTGGAAGTAGCCATCAGAAGGTGGGTCATTTTGGTCATAAAGGGATGGACATGATCAGCAACGATACTCAGGTGTTTTAAACCAGGCTCAGGAGTCCCGAGTGGGCCAGGTCCATCTCCCCTACACCATTAAACCACCAGTAGCAGCCTGAACCCTGATAAGGCAGGAAGTCTGGTACCAACAGGTCATTTAAAGGGACATTATGAAAGTTTGACAGCCAAAACATGTATAGAAATAATAAATGTCTTCTTCATACATTCTCCTGCAATGCCCTGGTCCTGTAGAATGAGCCCTGGCATTTTTACTGTGATTGCCTGTTTTTCTGTAAAATCACGGAAAAAGAGAGATGCTCGGGTCGAGCAGGCTGCTTCATGCGCGTTCACGCTCAGGCATCGCCCGGAGCATTTGCCATTCGTAGCTTTAGCAGCAGAGAGAGAGAGGCATTGCCACTTTGTCGCTGTTCCTAACCAGTGGCGGCTGTGCTTTTTTTTTTAAACAAACTTGTGCTTTCTGAGCTTTGTGCACAACTTCACTATTTCCTGAATTAAGCACAGCTCTTTTATTTCCTGTCTTACATTATTGGACAAAGGGATTAATCCACGTGTGTCTGACTATTGGCACACTGCCTTGCGGACCAAGGTTGAAAAATACTGCATTGAATTGCACATAAAATAACATGACCATAAATGGTCCACATCCACATTACTGTTTGTGAAACTAACATACTGGAGAATTTCATCACAATAATATTAAATAAACAAGTATGTACCTGATCTTTTGCATGCTGTTGGTGAAGCTCTGGATGACCCCTGTGATGTAGACAGAGTCAATGTTCCTCTTCTGCAGCTGGTTGAACAGCATGTCCACATGTGGCATGATCTTGTGACACAATGCCAGCAGAAAGCCAAAATCTTCTTCCTCCAGCATTCTCACAAAGCCTCCTGCCTCTGTCTCAGTGATTGGATCAAAGTCGTCCGAGTCTCTGATCATCTGGAAAAATCTGAGGAGGTCATCCTTGTGCTCATACACTGTGTTGACATCTCTCTCTTGGACAAAATGTGCCGGTTCTGATCCACTTCTTCATTGTGTTTCTTCACTGCAAGCCTGTGCCCCTCATCTCTAGCTGCATGGCAATGTTAGCTCTGCCTAGCATAGCTAGCTTCACCGTGTTGTCCATGTGTGCCCGGTATAACTCATGTTTCTTCACCTTCTCAGAAAAATGTTTCATGTCCGTAACTCCTGACTCAATCCATGCCTTATCTGTCCCAGCCGTTTTGAATAACAAACACGGAAAGCAAAATAACGCATTAGCGTGATTGCATCCAGCTAGCCTAGCCTTCCTGGTGTACCAATTTCGGGAGAAGCCTCGTGTGTACAGTTTACCTCTCTCCTTCTCCTGCTGGCTTATCTTTACGTCAGGCTGATCTGGTCCAAGCTCTTTGACATTAAGTTTTTCCACCATAGTTCTCCTCTCGAACGGATACTGGAGAAGAGACCGAACTGAATTCAGTGGGTGCTGAGATCCGGTATCCATGCTGGTTGTAGGCTCATTGTCTCTACATCTGCGTCACGACCAAAAACGTGCTGTAGTCGAGACTCTGCCGAGTTCTACCGAACACCAACGAAAGCCTTTGGCGGTAGCTCTATCGCCCATCATGCTTCTGAATCGACGTCAACGCTGATTGGATACATTCCCATTCCTACTGTTTGAGTTTCTTGTCAGCAATTGGCTGGCTGCTTCAATGCTGTTTGGGCGATTGAAACACAGCCTACAGCCTTTCTGTCATCTCCACCGCTCGGCAGAGAGCTTCTCACCAATATAGATATTAATATATATGATTTGTTTTTGTTACAAAACACACAATTAACTTAGAATATGTGATTATTGTTAATTTTATTTATTTATTTTTTTAAATAAAAATTAAAAACACTGGGGAAAACTGGGAGGGCGCCGCCCTATCGCCCTCTACTGGCCAGCCGCCACTGTTCCTAACGCCTAGTGACGAACCATGCTACATCTCTGAGGACCCTTAGCTACTTTCTGTAGTACTTTCTTCTAGATATTTCCTGCAAATTAGCAACAAAATAGCCATTTTCACTCCGAACCGTTCTTTGGTTTGACATTGTTTCAGCTGTCATCAAGGATATAAAAGTGACAGATACTGTGAATGTTACTAGAGTGTAGTTCACCTTGTTAGATGTCTGACTCTCATGCAGAAGACCTGGGTTCAATTCTGGGTGTGAACATAGTTCATTTAGAGTTTATTTTTTACATTGATGGTATATATTTATACAGTAAGATGCCCAAATTTGTATTTGAGACTCGCTGAACGGCATTGAATTCACAGATAAAAAAGATGTGGGTTCAACTTTCATTTTGGAACAATTTTTCAAGCAAGGGAAGGGAATGATCTGAGCATGCAGGAGGACTGACCCATCTTAAACCTTTGTCGGCTGTGCTGAAGAGAAAGGTACAGAACCAAATGATTTAATTAATTAGCTGCGTGTTCTCCTGTCCTCTGCCGTCACCCCCCCCCCCCCCCCCCCCCCACACACACACACACGGTCTCAGCTGTTATTTTCGTTAAGGAGTGTGCATGTACAGCATGCGCGCCTCGTGCACGAGCCTACTATTGAAGCTGCCATTACGCTTTTGGACTGGGGGGCCAATCGCGAGCATAAAATTTCAAAAGTCCGTAAAGTCCCTTTGAATAATTTGTGGTTTTCTGTCTAACCATCTCTTATGGGGCTACTGTCCGTATTCATGAGGAAAACCCAGATATTCTTCTCAGTAGCATTCTCTAGTTCCTAACGGGGGACCCTGAGCTGTTGCCAGGCCAGAGAAATTTGTTGACCCATTCTTTTTTTAAAGACCGTGTTCACTCGTGTTTTTGTTGGTTTATTTTTCACCACATTTGCAGTGGTCTCAAGCATAAATGAATGCCTTGTGAGTGCACTCCTGCTTCAGGAACTAGAAGCGAGTCAGAGGAGTGGGTAGTAGAACCCTGCAGCATTCTGGGTCGCATCAACTTCAGCCTGTGAACAATCTCTGTCGTTGTAGAAGAATGAA